CTTTTCTTGCTTTCTGCTGCAACCTAAGATAGATAGAATCTGATTAGGTTGTTAAAGCTTCATCAATCGGTAGTCGTAGATTGGTTATACGAGAGTTAATCAATCTACTGCTTTGTACTGGAGCCCAATTCCAGTAGTGGAGTTCAGTGCTTATTGCCTTAGCAGTCTATCCCGATGAAGGTTAGTCGCCTGCCGGTTAGCCTGCCTGAGAGGGCTTGGTCGGCTTAAGAGATTCCAAGCTACTGTCGGATCTTCCGCAGTTTAATCAACAGTTTATCAACCCAGGGTAATTACAACCGAGACCTAACTAAGGAGCTAGGGGGACTCATCCCCGAGTGACTCTTCCTTTGCTTTAGAAAACCGAACCATTTCCTGCTTTCTTACTGCTTTTAGTTAAAATTACAATCACTCAACTTAGTTTGCTAGATAACAGATATACACGGAGTAGGCAGTAGATCTAGACCCCGGGTTGACAATTAGAGCTTGCCTGTTACTACATTTCTGGACTGCGATTACACTTGGTCTCAGTTTGGTGTTGTGTTTTAGCGTGTCATAAGCCTCCTCGATGAGAGCTAGTGTGCGCTCAATGCCGGGATGACCAGCCCACTTGGAGTTGTCGCACTCCTTCGTGATCTCCCTTCGTAGGTTGTCCCACCACGGCACGAACACCTGCTCCCCCTTAGTCACGATGAGTCCACCTTTCATCCAAAACCGCCGAGTCTTTCCTTGCTTGATGTACTCGACCACGTGTTTTGGAGAAGGGGTCATGCCCAAGGCCTTCTTCAATCCGTTCCTTCAAGGGGAATTGCGGCTGGCTGATGGCGGCAAGTGTGCTCTTTCGGCTAAGAGCATCGGCAACAAAGTTGGCTTTCCCCGGCTTGTACTCCAGCACAAATTCGAACTCCGCGAGGAAATCTTGCCACCTTGCTTGCTTGGGCGTGAGCTTCTTCTGTGTGAGGAAGTAACTCATCGCCACATTGTCCGTCTTTACAACGAACTTCGACCCAAGCAAGTAATGCCTCCACGTTCTCAAACAATGGACCACCGCCGTCATATCTTTCTCTTGCACCGCATATCTCCTCTCGGCCTCATTGATCTTGCGGATCTCAAATGCAGTTGGGTGTCCCTCTTGCATCAACACTCCACCGATTGCAAAATCGGAAGCATCCGTTTGCACTTTATACGCCTTGGTTGGATCGGGAAGTGCTAGCACTGCTCCTTCGTCACCCCATCCTTCAAGGCTTCAAATGCTTCGCGGCACCGATCCAACCATTCCAAAGCCTTGTTCTTCTTTAGAAGATCCGTCAAGGGTGCTGCAAGAGCGGAGTATCCCTTGATGAATCTCCTATAATAGTTGGCCAGACTGAGGAATGATTGTAACTCGATGACCCTCGTTGGTGGCTCCCATCCTTGTATCGCGTCCACCTTGGCTTCGTCCATCTTTAGCTTGCCTTCGCCAATGATGTGGCCGAGGAAAGGAACCTCTGCGGCTGCAAACGTGCACTTCTCCTTCTTGACGTAGAGCTCGTAGTCTCGAAGGACTTGGAACACTTGTCGTAAGTGCTCGGCATGTTCATCGAGTGTGTTGCTGTACACCACGATGTCATCCAAATACACCACCACGAAGCGATCCAAGAATGGCTCGATTACTTGGTTCATCAAGGTGCAAAAAGTAGCAGGAGCGTTGGGTAGACCAAAAGGCATAACTAAGAACTCATATGAGCCATACCTCGTCACGCATGTCGTCTTCGCCTCGTCCCCCTCGGCTATCCTCACTTGATAGTACCCCGAGCGAAGATCAAGCTACGTGAACCACTTTGCTTCTCGGAGTTCATCAAACAAGTCGCCAATATTGGGGATTGGCTACTTGTTCTTCACCGTGAGCTTGTTAATAGCTCGATAATCGATGCACATCCGCAACGAACCATCATTCTTCTTCTGGAACAACATGGGTGCTCCATAGGGGGATTTCGACGATTGGATGAAGCCAGCATCCATCAACTCCTTGATTTGCTTCCTCAATTCCTCCAACTCGGGAGGGGCCATACGATAAGGTGCTCTTGCTGGTGGCGTCTGCCCTTGCTCAAGCTCGATCTTGTGATCGACTTCTCTTCTTGGCGGGAGCTTCTTTGGTAGCTCCTTTGGCATCACATCCACGAACTCCTCCAACACGCCCTCGATGAGAGGTGTTGGCGCCACCGAGCCTCCTTCTTCCTTCGCTCGCAAAGTGACAAGGAACGTGGGTTCCATCCTCTTCATTCCTTTCACCAATTGCATGGCCGAAAAAGCTCTCTTCGGCCCTTCTTCGCGCAACATCTTCACCGCGCAAAACTTATCTCCCTTGTCAAGGCAGAGAGTGTTGGAATTCATTGCCATCACCGCGCCATCCTTCTCCATGAAGTTGACACCAAGAATGACAGGATGATCATCCATAGTGATGACGCTGAAGTCGGCAACACCTTCCCAACCTTGGATCTTCAATGGCACGTTCTTGGCAACACCATGGATGGGTATTGCCTAGGAGTTGACGGTCTTGAGCGATCCTTGCCTCTTGTCGTAAGGGATCCCCAAGCGCTCCGCCTCCTCCACTCAAAGGAAGTTGTCGGTCGCACCGGTGTCAACCAATGCCTTCGACTCGCCCCCCTCGAATTGGGTGATCACAAAGAATTTCCCCTTGCTAACTTCGTTGGCGTCGGATTTTGCCGCGCCTAGCCTCCGCATGGAGCCTATCTTCCTTAGCATTATCCTTGGTCTCCCCTTATTTTTTCTCCAAGGCTGCTAGTTTGCTCTTCTTTGGACAATCTCGCACCTTATGTGGACCGTTGCAAAGGAAACAAGACATGGGTTTATCATAGTTACCAGATCTTGCTCCCTTGCTCGAGCCTCCATGTTGATACGAGCCTATTCCTTCTTTGGAGTGCTGCCGATGATCTCCTCCTTTGTTCTTCGAGTTCTTCGACTCGTTCGGCCTCTCACTCTTCTTGTACTCCGCGAGAGCCTCTACCGTTGCCAAGGCAGTAGCAAGATCTTGCACTCCACGCCTCTCGAGCTCCAACTTTGCCCAAGGCAGCAATCCGAAAAGGAAGCCAAACAAAGCCTCCTTGTCTGGCAGATCCGGGATCTCGAGTAGCAATTTCGAGAACTCCTTGACATAGTCACGAATTCCGCCGGTGTGGGTGAGTCGTCGAAGCTTTGCATGAGCTTCCATTTCCACATTCTCCGGGTAGAACTGCCTCTTGATTTCCCTACGGAAATCCTCCCATGTGTCAATCACAAATGTGCCTCTTTCTATATCACCTTGCCTTCTCCTCCACCAAACCATGGCCGTGTCGACCAAGTAAAGGGAGGTGGTACGCATCATGACTTCGTTGTCATTGATGCCTGAAGCCTTGCAATACTGCTCAAGGCTCCAGAGGAAATTCTCTAATTCCCTCGCGTTCCTCGACCCACTGAAGTTCTTCGGTCTTGGAACATCCAATCGCGGGGTAGATTGGGTCGCGGCAGGTCCGTTAGCCACGGCTCGTTTGACGAGATTGAGCTCTCCTCGAAGCTCGTCAAATTCTTCCCTCACTTCGTCCACCTGTCCTCGAACGGTCTCCCTCAAGGAGTCTATGGCATTGGTGATGATGGTCACAAACTCGTCTCTAAAAGCTTCTAACCCCACCTCCAAGCCTGCCATTCGAGTGCCCATGTCTTGCATGTCGTCCTTCAAAGTCTGCACCTCTGTGCTGACTTGATCGAATTTCAACTCCATGTCCTCGAACATGGTTGTATGCTTGGAAATCTTCGTCTCCAACCTCGTGAGCCTCTCCTCGATTGCAACCAAAGGCTCTCGAGTAGATCTATCACGATGCATCTTGTTGTTTGGATCCTTCTTCTCCTCACGACCGCGTTGTTGCTCATTGTTGAGAACTTCGCTTCCGGATCCAGCCATCTCTTCGAGGTTCTTTCTCACTTGCTGAGCTACGACCTTGGCCCTGATACCACTTGTCACGGGCCAACTCTTGGCCGTGCGACACTTAGCTCTCAAGTCTCGTTATAGCGCTAAGTCAGCCTTGCTCGTATTCACTCAAACTCACAAGTTGGGAGAAAAGCTCTAGAGATGGAAAGCTCTCTTATTTCTGGATGAATGACAAATGAGGGAGAGGGCTGCTTATATAGACAGTTAGACACCCTCTCCACTAAGTACAATGTATGTGGCCGTCATAAATGAACGAACCTAGAAGTCCCCTCATACATGAACTTGCCCCATACATGAATGTAATAAATAAGGTGCATGAATAAAAGATAGATAAGGGGGATGCATGTATATTGGTGCATGAATCAGAAGATGCATGCATGTACCTACATCCTTCTAGAATGCTCTAGAATCTTCCGCGTAACATATATGAATGGATGGACAACGACGATTGACTTTGTGTTGCATCCTTCCTTCTTTGTCCAACGAATTTTTTTCCGGGTTAGCAAAGAAGATGAAGGGGAGAGGTCGGAGCCGAGGTGTGATGCAGAAGATGAAAATAGTGAACTGATTGCCCTCATCCATCGTTGTCTTGGGCTTTTGGCCGCCGGGTTTAAATGGATTGTCAAATGCCGATGACGAAATTGTGAGCCTGATTTTGGGGGGTCGAAGACGACGTCGTCTGATTGTCTGGGGCAACAAAAAGAGGAACAGACAGAACGAGGGAGAAGGAGAAGGAGAAGGAGAAGGAGAAGGGAAAGGGGCAAAATTGACTTTAAATAATTTGGGCCCAAATTTGTGATGTGCAAACAAACATATTAAGTGGGCCAAATTATTGATATAAATCTCTGGTTTTTCAAGTGAGATTTGGGCCAAAATCCCTCAATAATCAGCCAAAACAATTTTCTTAATCTAAACGACTCCTTAATAATATTTGTATCATTCCACAAATTAACTAGAATAAATTGATTGTTCCATCAATTAATTAAACCATTCCACTTGTCAAATCTGCATAGTAGTATAAACCGGCTTGAGGTTTAGACTTAACAGTAAAAGAAAACAGATATAAATTTCAGTGACCTTTTCTGTTTCAAAACTGATACGAAGTCCAGCGCCGGTGACTAATCTTTGCTGTCGCGCATGTTTCCGCTTCACCACTCTCTTCAACTACTGCCGTGCCGTGCCTATAACTGGACCGCCCGAATCCCCAAACCATCAAACGGTAGCTGCGTCGTGCTCGCCGGAGCTAATTAGGTACTCGTAGAAGGGATAAATAAGAAGGAATGGAGGAATCGCATCTGGATTACGTGTTGGTGCCGCTGGGAGTACTGTTGATGCTTCTCTATCACGCTTGGCTTCTCTTCACGATCCTTCGTCATCCAACACGCACTGTCATCGGCATCAACGCTCAATCTCGCCACCAGTGGGTTCACGCCTTGATGACTGTAAGCTTCTCTCTTTCATCTATGGAGGTTTTCTATGTTGTGGAAGCAATTAGTCTCTATCTATGTCTCTAAAATTCTCAACATAGAACTTAGTTTTTGCTAGAATCGAGGCCGATTTGGTTGGTCCCGTAAGTTTCAGAGAAAACCCTGTTTCGGTATTGGCCAATTCCCCCATGAACTGTCATCAATTTCCTTTTGATTGATGCTAATGGAATTGATCCAGCTGTAAATGGAAGTGGGAGTAATCAATTTCTCGGGTCTAATGAAAGGGGGGAACTTTAGTCCTTGGTAGGAAGTCGATTTCTTAGTTTCACCGAAGAAAGCGAATCAATCATCTAAGCCATCAATGAATTTTTCAATCTGCTTCTTCCATGCACCCTCCTGCTTTCCCCAATTTCAGGATCCCCTGAAGAATGGTGTTCTAGCAGTCCAAACCCTACGCAACAACATAATGGCATCGACTCTTCTAGCAACCACAGCAATCACTCTCAGTTCTCTGATCAGTGTTTTCGTGAGCAGCACATCGAGTGCAACCAACTCTGCATCAAAGCTGGTGTACGGCAACAAGACTTCCTTCGTTTCATCAGTCAAGTACTTCTCCATCCTGCTGTGCTTCCTCGTGGCATTTCTCTGCAACGTGCAATCGATTCGATACTATGCACACGTCAGCTTCCTGGCCACCGTGCCATCCTCGACTGGCAGTAAGGACGCTGTGGAGTATGTGGCCAGAAACTTGAACAGGGGAAGCTTCTTCTGGTCCCTTGGATTGCGAGCGTTTTACCTGTCGTTCCCTCTATTTCTATGGATCTTTGGTCCCATACCAATGTTTGTTTGTTGCTGGATGATGTGTTTCACCCTCTACTTCTTGGACACTACGACCAGTTTTACCAGGCAGCTTCACTCTTACTCGTTTAGGGAGAAGATGGATTCTGTGGATGTCGAATCGACAGGTGACCGCTCCCTCTGAGTCTTAGACTTGAATGGCATGTGGTGTGTACGTAAGATGTATCTGACGTCAATTTAGCTTTGACATGAGTGTTTGTTCTTCTGTGTAACATAAGAAGACTGATGATGTTTAGTAACCATGGTACCTTGTTTGATGGATGTTTTCTTGAGGACTGGTCTATTCTGCATCCAGGAGAATAGCAGGCCAGCCGGCCTGGGAACATTTATTATTAGTATCTAATTTTCAAAAGGTCGCTGCCTTGATATTTGATAAGTTCTAATACCAACTCTGATCGCTGCGAGCGTGGGAGATCACAGCTAGAGGTGTTGCCTGTGACAGGGACGGAGCCAGGATTTTGTGGTAGGAGGGGCCAACGAAATTTTTTTGCGACACAAATATTACATTCAAATTATATGCAAGATTTTTATACAAAAAATGCATATAGTTATGTGCAATCTAAACGTCGTTATATATACATATATCTGGTTTGAAGTATTTTATCATGTAACATATTGTTTTTTACAATTTGTAATTGAAACTTCGAGTATATCATAACCGTAAGAACAAAATACAAATACGATAAAATTTCACTTAGATTATACAAAAAAAGCATATAATTATGTGCAATCTAAACATCATTATATATACATATATCTCCTTTGAAGTATTTTATCATGTAACATATTATTTTTACAGTTTGTAATTGAAACTTCGAATATATCATAACTGTAAGAACAAAATAAAAATATGATAAAATTTCACTTAGAAATTACGTAAAATTCATCTTAAAATGGACATTTTAAAGCTTGAAATCACATGAGAAAGCGTGAAATTTTTCTTAAAAAAATGGACATGGACATAACATAGCTTCAAATTGCATGAAATTCCCCCTAAAATGTGAAATTAAAACCCATAAAAATATGAAATAAATTGAACTTTGATATGTTGAAAAATGAAAGTATATGGGAAATAACAAAAAGGGGGAAGCGAACCCTGACCCTTTCTTTGTAAGAGTAAAGATTCATTCCACTCATCTTCAACCAGTAGGCTAGTTAAGGATATTGAGTTTAATTGGCCACGTCTACATTAATATCAATCCAAAATTTTAAGGGGGCATGGCCCCTCCTTCCTCTAGGCTAGCTCCGTCCCTGGCCTGTGATCTACCCTCTTCTGGTCATGAACCCTACTACCTTTTGCACAAAATATCACAGGCAAAAAGCGGTACATCACAGTCGTGATATTCAGGAAACATGTCATGATCCTCCACTTGGCATCACTGGTTCGAAATTTCAAGAATTCCAAAAAGGTGAAAAGGAATTACGAGGTGGAATATGAGCGGTGTAGTCATACTTTGAGTCTACTGGGGTCCTTAAAAATGAACTAATACTATTAATATTAATTAATTAATATATAAAAGTCAATGTTGTAGGTTACTATTCATTAGTGGCTCTCACACTCCTTCAAGTGCAAGTGGGGAAGTTCCAAGTGCTTCTTTTACCCCACTCTTCATTCTACAACCTTTGTGTTTTCGTCTATGGTTTTTTGCACAAATCATCGCCTTTGTGTTTTTGTCATTGTTCTCTAGGTTTTCGTCTATGACTTTTTGCACAAATCATCACCTTTGTGTTTAGTTATTGTTCGCTAGGTTTTCGTCTATGGCTTTTTGCACAAATCATTGCCTTTGTATTATCATCGCCTTAGCATTTAGTTAATATATTAATATATTAAAGCCAAGGTTGTAGGTCTATTCATTAGTGGCTCTCACACTCCTCCAAGTGCAAGTGAGGAAGTGCCAAGTCCTTCTTTTACCCCACTCTCCATTCTACAACATTTGTGTTTAGTTATTATTCGCTAGGTTTTCGTCTATGGCTTTTTGCACAAATGATCGCCTTTGTGTTTTTTCATTATTCGCTAGGTTATCGCCTATGACTTTTTGCACAAATCATCGCCTTTGTGTTTAGTTATTGTTCGCTAGGTTTTCGTCTATGGCTTTTTGCACAAATCATCGCCTTAGCGTTTAGTTATTGTTGGTCATATTTTCGTCTATGGCTTTTTGCGCAAATCGTCGCCTTTACTCACCATTTTTCAGCTCATCTCGAAATATTGTCGTCGAGATCCTAAGTTGTTCCCTACCACCGTTTTCCAAGGCCGCCACCACGAGTTTTTTATCGGGACAGAGTTTCATCCTTTTTAGTGTTCTTTTCTTTCTTTTATTCATTTTTGGTGAGTAACCCATACACATGGGTACTCCTACCTTGAACATAAATCATGGCCTTTGCCCATCATTTTGCAGCCCATCTCGAAATACTATCGGCGGAATCCTAAGTTATTCCTCACCACGTTACCCAAGGCCGCTACCACGAGTTTGTATCTGGACCGAGTTTTATCCTCTTTAATGTTTTTTCCCCTTTTTGTTGAGCATGATCACAATTGAACCCAAATACATGGGTATCCTAACTTGAACACAAATCATCGCTTTTGCCCACCATTTTGCAGCCCATCTGGAAATATTGTCGGCGGAATCCTAAGTTTTTTCCCCACCATCGTTTCCCAAGGCCTCTACCACGAGTTTTGTATCGGGATCGAGTTTCATCCGCTTTAGTGTTTTTTTCTTTCACTTTTTCCTTTTTGTTGAGCATGATCACAATTGAACCCAAATCCATGGGTATCCAACCTAATTTTATCCGGTCAAAGCGACCTGAAACAGATTTTCGCATTTATAAATTTCTCTTTTTTTTTCTTCTTTTGGTTGGGAAGACAATTGAACCTGTATTTAAGGTTTTGACGAGTGTTATATTGTGAGCGAGCTTTATCCGCTTTTGTAGTTGGCAGGTTGGATGAAGTGCTAATTTGTTAAAAATTTGTTCAAAGCGAGTTGAAAACATTATTGACCAGTTTTAGATCGAAAGTGAGTTTTGTACGCTTTAATGTTTTTTATTTCTTATTTTCCTTTTCGGCGAGAATGACAATTGAACTCTGACCCATTTTTTATGCGTTTCATATTGAGAGCGAGTTTTATCTGCTTTTGTAATTGACAGGTTGGGTAAATTGTGAATTTGTTAAAACTCAGTCGACCCGGTCAAAGTGAGTTGAACGTAGTGTTGAGCTTTTGCCGTCATGAGCGAGTTTTATCCGCTTTAGTATTTTTTTTTTATCCTTTTCCTTTTGGTTGAGAATGACAATTGAGTCCAAACGCACGGGTATACAACCTAATTCGACCGGACCAAAGTGACTTGAACCAGATTTTATAGGTTTTCGGCCAGAGCGATTTTAACTATTTTTGTAATTAGCGTGTTGTGTCAGGTGTGAATTTGACCAAAAATCGATCCAAACAAGTTGAACTTGGTGTTGACGAGTTTTTAGTCGGTAACGAGTTTTAGATTTAGTGTTTGGCCCGATCAATGCGAGTTGAACCTACTCGAACCTGCAATTAGTCCAAAAATTTTATAAAAGAGAACCACGATTACCTCAAACCCCAAAGGAAGCCAAAAGAGTACGACTATGTTTGACCCAAATTTTATAAGTTATATGTTTCAAAAGTTGAAGTCAAGCCAAACACATCTAAAATTTCACTTTTTTAAAAAACTGAAGTTTTTCGTAACTTCAAAGCAGAAACTCCGATTTGAAAATACTAAATTGTCCTTACCATATATTATTCTTTTTCTAAATATAATTTTCTTTCATTTATATCATTATAAAAAATATTTAAATATAGTTTTATTTAATATAAAATAAATCTAAAGTGATCCATTTTAAATACTTTTTTATTTTCAGAATTTGAATTCATATTTTATGTTAGAAATCTTTCTTAGTCATTTTTCAATACCTCTTATATTAGAATGTAATTCTTATAGTTTTCCAGTTAAACACTCAACAGGATTTTTTTAAATACTTTTTAAAAAGATCAAGAGAAGTTGCTTCATTCTGCAAAAGTTACAGCAGGATCAATTACTAGTCATACAAATTCAAGCGTTATGAAAGAAGTTTAACATAAATAACCTATTCGACGACACTTCTACATTCTGCAAGTTCATCGACCATATGCTATTGTAAATAATCAAACTATGAAAAGAATGATTAAGAATGAAATAAGATTACATTCACTTTTGGGTCAACATTAAAACTATTACTCTTTAAAATATTTATTTTTCTAAATACGCGAAGCGATAGTGAGCGGGGTTTTGCTAGTCTAATGAACTTTGAGTTAATTGGGGTCCTAAGGTGAGCTAAAATCGACGAGAGTATGAGGCCTAAACATGAAGAATCATACTAAACTCTATGTTATTAATGGATTTTGTTGACCAATTATTTGCCAAGGACTCCACTCCTCAACATCTCCCTCCGCCACTGAATATGAGGATCCAACTCGCTTGTGTTTGTGATAGGAAACTATTGTCAAACAACAATTGTGACACCCAGTTCATCAATGGTCAATGCTCCTTCGGAGCTAGTCTCTCGTTTTTAATGCAATTGGTCCTTGTCCAATCTAATATTCGATTTTCGGAGTTTTTGGCCTGAAAACCATGTAAAACTATTCAAAAAGGCATAAAATGTGATCAAACTTTGGGGTGCTAGTAGGGGTGGGCAACGGGAAACGGGTATTTGTGCATACTCATACCCGTCCCTTTTTTTAGGGTTATGGGTACCCAAATACCCGTAATTTATTTTACGGGATGAGATTTGGGATGAAAAAATTCTACAATGGATACCCATGGGTTACCCTTTAATACCCGTTTGGGTATTACGGGTACCCGTACTACCCGTACGACCAAAATGTACGAATTACTTCAACACTAGCGCACAAGTCAATCAATATTATTAAACAATAACGTAAAAATACACGAACGAATTTTATGATCCATATATAACTAAACTAACAACTGACATCGGAGAAGTCTCTTTCATCTTCTCCTTCTATATCACAGCAGCAGCACTCGCTATAGCATTAGCAGCAGAAGCTCAGCCGGTACCTCATGCACAGCTTTGATCCCCTTATGCCCTTAAACTTGTCCACCGTCTGGTTTGACCAAAACAACACACATGCATAGCAATTCAATCCAAAAAACGAGTTCACTGTCATCATATATACATACGCTTTTAATTACTGGAACAAGTGATTTCACATGCACATAAATAATTATATTACCATTTGGCAGATGGCAAGTCTTGTGGTCGCTGAAACTTGCTACATATGCAAGAATTATTTGATGCATCCTATAAATAAACAGAAGGTCATTCATATAATATTTATTTTGGT